CACCGTAACCCCTCCCCCAATCCCATCCCCGTTTCTTGTAAGCTCTGCGACATTCATAGCCCTCACTTATCATTTAGTCTGACGACTAACAAGTGATACTTGTTCGAAAATTCAGGAGTACAACTCGATTTTCCGAAGATCTTTCTTTTCATAACTGCTACACCTATCTGCGTCTGCGAATCCAGTTACGGAGCATAGATGAGATAGCAGATAGCAGCAGACTTAGTTTTAAAAAAAGCAACGCTACTATCGGCTATACAGCAAGATAACCTACAAAAAACATCACCACATTAGAAGCATGAAGTCAGCTAAGTTATCAAAATAGGACAAAATAAGGAGAAACCTTGTGTTGCTTTTCCAAAAGCCTACTGATATGCAGGACTCCGCTTTACCAATAAACTTAATTATTAGTATTCTTATAGGATCGTGTATGCTTTTGTTACAGCCCACTTTTTTTAAAAGAAACCTGTTTTTCTGTCCCACGTCGTATCGTCCTGCCATATTCAACTTACCGTTCTGATTTCAGGTGCTTCCTGAAACCCTGTATCGGCTTCTGCGCACGATTGGGAGAGACTCGCAGGACAGTCTAGGCATTTTACAACTCTGCAACTTCAGCAAACCGCTCAAAGCGCTGGTACGTTCAGCAAAGGCATGTACAGACTCACCTTAAAGAGTTTGTCAAGTTGGCGAATCAGAGGCGCCTTATGCGTGTGTACAGCCCTAACTTTAAATTGGTATCTTATCCAAACTAGGGCATGTCTTTTTTCAGTCAAATCAGTTTGGTAAACAGATAAGAAACCGGGTGCTTTATTTCTCAAGGTTGGTTTTGATGTCTTTTACAAAATTCATCCACTGCCAATGGAAACGTTTTGTCACAAGGTCATTCCTTATACTGATGTTGTAAGAGCAAGTGCCTTTGAAAAAACTGTATTATAAAGGCACATGCACTTTTGTTTAAAAAACAGTTAATCTTTCCTAAACATGATCAAAAAATATGTACGGTTGTCAAGGCAAAAGGGTTTGTATATTTATGTTCGTATTTAGGAGAGCTCTGGTGGTTTAATAAAGAAGGATGGTGGCTACTTTGAGTGTAGAATTAACAGGTGTGCAGATACCAGTTACTGTGAGTTTTCACACACATGTCTACATAATTAGCATACCTGCAATCTATTTTAAAGTTAAAAGATGCCCATCCCTGGGACGTGACGCGTGAAGACGGCGC